CCCCAAAACCCCAAAACCCCAAAACCCCAAAACCCCTAATTTAATTTATTTATTGATAGAAATTTTGATAATATCTAATGGATACTCCAGCAATAGTCATAGATAACGGTACAGGGTTCACAAAGATGGGTTTCTCAGGAAACATCGACCCTTCGATCATGATTCCTTCAACTATCGCAGAGAGCATGGAGACTAGCGATTTAATAGTGTCTAAAGTCCAGTTCAATGACTACGATTACTTCATTGGAGAAGAAGCTCTGAAAAACTCCAGCACTCATAAGCTGACCTATGTTCTTAATGGCGGAATGATTGAAAATTGGGAACAAATGGAGAAATACTGGCATAAGTCTATCTTCGAATACCTCAGAGCTGATCCTGAGGAGCATTACATGGTGCTGACTGAGCCACCAATGAATACTCCTGAAAATAGAGAACAAATGGCTGAAATAATGTTTGAGACATTCGGAGTCCCTGGTCTCTTCATTGGCGTTCAGGCTGTGTTGGCACTTTATGCAGGAGTCTACGCCTCAGTTGATAAGTCTGAGAATATTCAGGGTAAAGATCTTACAGGAACTGTTGTTGACTCTGGAGATGGTGTTACTCATGTTATTCCTATTGTGCACGGATATCCAATCAGCAACAATATAAAGCACATTCCGATTGCAGGAAGGGATATTACTAAATTTGTCTCAGATTCTTTAAAGACAAGGAAGGAAAAGATTCCTGCTAGTGATCTGAGAGAGGTCTCAAGGATTATTAAGGAGAGCAACTGCTACTGTGCCCCTGATATTTTGAAAGAACACAAGAAATACGATGAGAAGATCAAGGACCCAGAGACAGGAAAATGGAAACAATCTAAGAAATTCAAGAAAGTTTCAATGACTTCACCATACAGCGGAAAGAGAATCAAGTGAGATCTTGGTTACGAGGCCTTTATGGCACCAGAGGTTTTCTTCCACCCTGAATTCGTCAATGCGGATTATAGAGAATCCTTGGATGAAATAGTTGATATGGCTATTGTCAAGTCTCCACTTGATAATAGACTTGATCTCTACAAAAATATTGTTCTCTCTGGAGGATCCACACTGTTTAAGAACTTTGATAAGAGACTTGAGCAAGAAGTCAGAAGAAGAGTTAAAGGTAGATATGAAGCTTTAGGCATCCCAGAAAATACTCCTGAAGTTAAAGTTTCTCAGAACGTCGTTCAGCAAGCTGCTGTCTGGTTTGGAGGAAGCATGCTTGCAGACAACAAGGAGAATTTTGCTGGAATTGTGTCCACTAAGGAGCAGTACGAAGAAGTTGGGCCATCAATTGCCAGACATAACCCTGTTTTCTCTATATAGGCATATAATTTTATTCAATAGTGGAAAAGAGATACGGGGTTTTGGGGTTTTGGGGTTTTGGGGTTTTGGGG